CCGCCGCCGCCGCCGCCCCCCGGCCCCGTGGCCTCTGCCTCAGGCGCGGCCCAGAGAGCCCCGGGCCTCCGGCTCCCGCTTGGCCCCGGGGACACGCCCCCCAACCAGCCATTGGTGCCGCCGCCAAATTAGCCCCGCCCCCTTATGTACGTAGAAAAAAATATGTCTGCGGTATTAGTGAAGTTGCCTGTCATTCCTCCGTCCCGCGGCATTGCTGCCGCTGAGAACCCACCCCTTCCCCTTTGATCTTGGAAGCTTCTTGTTTATTGGCCACTGATTGGCCGACATGTAAAAGTTAAGGCTGAACTTTGATAGGCTCAACCACCCTTGATACTTTGACCGCGGCCATTGGCCCGCACCACATCGGGATCCGATTGGCTACAGGAAGAGAGCGAAGCGCCAGAGGGGATAGAGGCCGGATTTGGGCCGCAGACTGGCGCCTGTGGAGCTACGGGCGCTGCGGGTCGGATCGCCCGGAGGGGGTCAGTGCCAGGCCTCAAGGTCAAACCGCTGAAGGCTGCCGTTAGAGCCCGTGCTCAAACGCCCGCCCCAGATCCCGAGACACCCAGGTCCCTAGCCGAGAGATCTGTTCCCGCGGGATCTCGGGCTAGTGGGAGGCGGAGCCAGCCTGAGCGGGGCATCCCCTGGCGCGCCCCGCGAGTCTGTTCGGGAACTTGTTACGACAGGCGGGCGCTGGCCCGTTAGACTCCGGTCGGATCTGGAGTGTTGCCCTCCCCTCCCCCCTCGCCCCCCCGCCCCAGGCCGCGCGCGAGCTGACTCCTGAGGTCCTGGAGTTCTTCAGGTATGGTACTGAGCTTGCACCCGACGTCGCCCAGTACACCCCGCAGTTGAATGAATGAATTCTCCGGGGACCCACTGTCCATGGGCACTGCGCCAAGCCGCGAGCTGGAGATAGGGAAGGAAGATGTCGAAATGGGATGATTCAGAGACAGGTGGAGAGGCCGGACTGGAGGCCACTGCCGGAACACTGCAGGGAAAGTACGGCCACTGTGGGGAAACTCGGATGTACAGCTTTTTCTTCAGCTGACGCCCGGATGAACCCTACTGCCTGTTCATCATTGCCTTTTGTAAAAGACCGTTCCTTGCCAGCCGGGTTGGCTAGAGTCGGAGGGACGCACCCTGGTTAAAGAACAATGCCTGCAATTCCCAGCCATGAGCACCACCTCCGGGCCGTGACGTTGTTCAAGACCTACGCACACTCGGTTGAGTAACAGGCGCTTTCCCCACTCCAGTCTGCCCGGCATCTTTAGTCTCCATTCACTGGAGCGTGTTTGTACAAGCCTCCTCACTGTTTCTAGCTGTCTTTAATACACCTATTTTACAGAGATGATGATGCAATTGTGAACTTTTCCATCTGTTTATAACTTTACCTTACATAAGAGTTTTTCCTTTTTCTCTCTAAAGCTTGACCATTCTCCGGGCCTCTGGTGTTTTTTTGTTTTTGTTTTTTACTTTTTTTTTGCTCGTCTGTTTTCTTCCTCTTCAGCAGTGGTTATTAACCTTTGGGTCTCGACCTTTTGGAAAATAATGAAATATAAATCCTTGCATCCTCTCTCCACCTCCCACCTGCCATGCACGGACAAAATTTCGCATGTAATTTCTGAGTTTACAGAGCCCCTGAGGTGACTCATGGACCCTTAGCGGTCCCTTGATCTCAAGTTAAGAACCCTTCCTCTACAGCATGTTCAGTCTTCCCTCTTCTCTAGCTCATTTCTCTTGGATTTAAATAGGCCTCAAAAAGAAACTCAATACTGTAGAGTAAAACTACAAACGACTTACGCTTGCTGTACCCTTTCTCTTCTAAAGCTCTACATTTTTACTCCTTTATTCAATGGTCACAAATGACCTGCCCAAATCTGATGGCCTTTTCCTTGTTTCCATTTTTCTTGGCTAGGAGATAACACTTGTCCCCATCCACCCATCTCTCACTGAACTTTGTCCTGGCGTCAGGAACCACTCTGTTCTACCTTGTAGACATCTCAGTCTCCTACACTTCTGTACTCACTGAGGGGGAACATTCCTAAAAGTTTAATGCTCTTTGTTCATCTTTTAATACCTTAGAGAACTCCAAATCTGTTCTCTTTAGAACCCTATCTGTATTTCCCTTATTGCGTGCTTTTTAACTGAAATTTCTATGTGAACATTCAGTAAATATTTACTGAATAACAAGCCTGTGCCTGACAATGTACTTGAAGCTGGTGATACAGGACAGACAGAGTCCACACTCACATGGAGCTTAGTTTTTAATGGGGGAGGGGGATAGACAAAACAAATATCAGTTAGCTATAGGCACTAAGCTGGTAACTGAAACAGGGAGGTGTGATAAAATGTGACAGAGTGGCTACATTTGGATGACCAGGAAAGGCCTTTCTGAGAAGACGATAGTGTTACGTTCTGAATGATAGGTAGGATCTCACGATGGACCCAGAGAAGAACATTCCAGAAGAAACAGCAGATACAACAACCATAAGGTGAGAACAAGATTGATGTATGAAGGAACGGAAGGAAGGCAGTATAGCTGGAGCATGGTGAGTGAGGGCAGAAATGATACAAGATGAGGTTGGAAAAATAGGCAGAGGGTGAATATCTACCCTAATTGCTGACTTAGCACGTCCATTTCAAACTCAGCCTTTCCACTCCCGCCCCAACCAATTCCTCCAAATTTTTCCTTTTCTACAAAAGTCTTTCATATTTGTCCAATCAGCCGGACTCTAAACATGAGAATCTTTCTTGACTATCCCTTCAGAATAATCTGAAATGTTCCTTTCTTGGTGCTCTCCTTTTCCTTCCTATTGATATTATGCTTTCTCAGTATCTGATCACTTTACATCTATATGGTAATAACCCTTTGAAAGTCCTCCCTACCACCAGGATCCTCTAGCTTCACTGGTATTTTGATTCCCTGTCTTCCAGGTACATGATGGGATTATTCTCCCTGCTTCCTTGAAGATAGGCATGGTCACGGAATTTGCTTTGGCAAATAAAATGTGAGAGAAGCACAAGAGCCACTCATTAATTCCCCCTCCCACATGACTATTGATGTTCAAACGGTGAAACCTCCATCAGTCTTGTGAGGATGACAAGCAGAGTCACCTACTTGCTACCCACTTCATCCCAGATGGACTTTGAGTATGAGTATGTTGTTCTTAAGATATGAAAATTTTAGGATTATTCCATCACAGCATAATCTAGTCCAGTGCTTCTCAGACTTCAACGTGATATTCGTTACCTGAAGAATTTGCTAAAATGCAGATTATAATTCTGTAGGTCTGGGTGGAGACTGAGATTCCGCATTTCTGACAAGCTCCCAGGTAATGCTGATGCTGCCATACTCTGGACCACACTCTGAATAGCAAGGATCTAACCCACCCTGACTATCTGATATATATCTGATATACCCCTCTCAATACATCTAAACATGCTATATCCTACATCTTAACAACACTTAAACCTTCCTAAAAAAAAAAAAAAGCAAGCCAAGAAACGACTTTCTTGGTAATAGTCTTTATAAACCCTCAATAGCTTCCCACACTTGCAACTCCTCAGACACTGTAGACTTACTTTCTTATGTTCCTAGGACAGTTGTTTTCCACATTCTCTCTTCTAGCTCCTGTCATTTTCTTTTCTACGTCTATGAGACCAGTGGTTGTCTCAAATAGTCTCATTTATTTTCTTTAGTAATTATAACCCCAAGTTTTATCTTGGGCTCATGGGTTTCCAGCTCAAGTTTATATTTTCCCTAGCTTCCCTTGCAGCTAGCATTGGCTGTGTGACTAAATTTTAGCTAGTACGATGTGAATGTAAATGACAGGAAACATCAGGGTTCTGCCTTTAAAAGGAAAGATTGTGTCCTCTTTGAATATTTTCCTAATTTTCTCCCTTCTTGTCATCTAGAATAAAGACCCAGAATATGTTGACCAGTTTTGGCCATAAGGACAAGACCTATACTTAGGAGGTAGCAGAGCAAAAGATATAAAAAAAACCTGCTGCCTTTTGGATAACAGTAGTACCTCTGGACGACTCATGTTGAGGTACATGAGAGAACTCGTTTAAGCATTTGCTGTTAGTTTGAATCTTTGTTACAGCAGCTAGTTTATATCCTAACTGATACATGTTCTTCCCTAGAATGAATTTCTCCCTTCGTTCTTAACAAAATTCTCATTCTTGATGATCCAAAATGACTCCTTCCAGTATATATTACCCTCTTTCTCTGAACTGCCATTGTAGATAACCAGACATGAGATATGATTATAGTATAGAATGATATTGATTTCAGTAGCCACACGTGAAAATAAGACTGATTTCTTTACAGTCACTTAAAGAGAAACTGACTCCTATGTTATGAAAAATAGACCATCAGAGCCATAGGAATTCAGAGATGGGGCAATCAGTGAGAACTGAAGGGATAAGAAGATATTATATATTTTAGCAGTTTCAAACAAAAATGTATACAGGAAGACTTCTCAAGGGATATGTGGGGAGCAGTTTTAAGGGAATCAATATGCCGTTGCTCATCTTCAGCATCTTTCCTAAAACTCATCTTCCTGAGAAAGCAGTTGAAGTAGTTCTCCTTCCCTGCCTCCCATTTCTCAGTCCTGTCACCCCATCAAAGAAAAATGTGCCTTTGCCTGTCTTTCATCTTGTTATGTAGTTCATCGCCTTGGTGTGTAAAAACTTCTAGACAGCCAAACAATCTTGGTGTTAACAAGGCTCTCTTTAATCAGGGTACAACTGTAGTCTTCATGTCTTTCTCTGACTTACATATATTTCCCTTAGGGCAAAACATGGCTTTAGGAATGGATAGTTTGGTCCTTTTGGGATATTCAACACACACACACACACACACACACACACACACACACACACACACATTGTACAGTGGAGAAGTGGGTTTTTAAATTTAACTACATTACCCATTCCAAATCCTGACTATGATCAAAGAATATATTGTTTGAACAGAGCGAAAAAAGCATATTAGATATTAAAGGTAGTGGTGCCTTATTTCATCAGGTGACATATTCATGGCAAGGACTCTGTCATCTATTTATCTTGGAACTAAGATGTTCAAGATTTTTAGAATGTTGGGAAGTAATAATGTGCTACAAAGTATAATGTTCCCTCTTTAGTCAGAAATAAATATCTGAGTTATATTCTTCATTCATGTCTCAACTTGGGTCTTGATTTCATATTTTGCATTATTTCTAGTAATATAGGTAAAATACATGTTTACTTTCACAGATCAATAGCATTAAAATGGTTAATTTTATGTTATGTGACTTTCCCCTAAATTTAAAAAAGGAAAGGCTAGCATCCAATAGATGAGATGAATAAGTCTTGTATCTCATTATCCTTTTAAATGTCTATGCCTCTCTAAACCCAAGCAGCAGCTCTAGACCAGTTACTATACATCTCCTAGGTTGTCTCACATCAACTTGAAGAAAACCTGCTTTGGACCAAAGTGAAAGATCTGAGAAATGGATACAAAGTTTCTTTTTGGTTAATGAAAATCTTTTAAAATTATATTGTGATGATAGTTGTACAACCATAGTGAATATACTAAAAACCATTGAATTGGGTGAATTTTATTGTATGTGAATTATATCTCAAGCTGTTTTTAAAAAGTAAAAGATCTAATCGAAGTACATTGAAGGGTATCTTCTTTTGGAACTTCAGTCTCATCATCCTTTAGGCAGTAAACTTTTTCCTTTTGCACATCTTTTTTTTGGGGGGGGATGGTGGTTACTGTAATCATGACATCATTTTTTATTATTAAAGTTTCTCCAAAAGGATCTTATTTCAAAAAAAAGTGAAACAAGGAAAATTACTAATTTTTATCTAAGAAACAAACATAACGTCATCTCTGGATCATAGGCAAAAATCCAAAAAAGTTACTGAAGCTTCATTAGTTCTTTTCTAGTAGGAAGTTTCAGTTCATTTTATGCTAAAATTAAATTGAAACAGATATAGTTAGAAAAAAATATTTTTTGATATGGTAAATCCATATTCTTATTTGGATACAAATCTTGCTACTCATTTCCTCCATTTATTAATTTCTGTCATATTCTCATTATCTCGACAGAAACTTGTAAACTCTTTAAGTAATGCCCCCAAATAATTATTTTTACACCTTTTTGCAAGTTCTGCATCTACTGGTCATACGATACCCTCACTTCTTTTTGCCGTTTATTTCCACAAAATAGATAAAACTGTACTCTTAAAAGCATCTACTTATGTACCTGTTAAGACAAAGTGTTACCAAAATGTAATCCAGCATAAAATGTCCTGAACTCTATGAAACTTTTTCATTTAATTATAACTAATTATTCCTTCTCGGATGTTGACATGTTCTTTGAAGTCTCTCAAATGTATAATTTAAACTTATTTTTTAAATCTCGAAATTATAAATCTATATATTAGATTTTTACAATACCAATTTCTCCCATCTGTAATGTCTTCTTAAGGCACTTCAACGTGGCCTAAATAATTGAAATAGGCTTTGTTCACAATCAACAAACTTTGTCTTATCAGGTAATAAACCACCAAAATAGAATTAGTTAAAGTGGGATAAAAAGGAGAAACAGAGAGCTTTATCTCTGACTCATCCTGCCTTTGCCTTGGTCATGATTCTGTCAAAAAATGTCAGAATAAGGAGGATAATAGAGGGTAGCTGAAATTCCATGACTTCATATAAGTTTCAGTTACTTTATTTGTTAAAGGTAATAATAACATGTACTTCATTGGATTGTTTGAGGATTCAATCAGAAAAAGAATGTTAAGTTCTCACTACACTAGCAGGTATATTGTTAGAACTCAACAAATGTTCATTTTTATTACTATTATTACAATTATTATTACCTATTTTTCCTTTATGACTGTCTATCCATCTGTCACAGAAATCAATGGCATCATGTTACCTAATTCCCAAGCAAGAAACCAAGATGACTATGACAAGAGCACCAAATTTGGGATATCTCACAAAATAAGCTTTGTTCCTAACAATAATATCCTTATTTTAGGCCCATGTCGCAGTGACCTCAATTATTGTATGAACTTTGTATCATAAAGAATAGATTTAAATATTTTTAATTCCTTAAGTAACATGGCTAGAATTACAAAATTTTCCTTGACTTTTATCAAAGAATGTGATGTCTGTTGTCCTTGACATACAAAAAAAGATAAGCTAACAGCAGGGGATGAGGTTTGGGTTATTTATCTAAGTAGATGCAATTTTAATGCTCTGTGGTATTGAATTTTTTATAAATATTCAATTATATTTTTCAAATATATTCAAATATATATTTGAGATATATTCTCAAAGCAACTAGCCAGGGTTATGGAGGCAGCGTACACAAACAACAATCACAATAACATCATTAACAAAAAACGAATTACGGCAGCAGATAGGAACCTCAAACGTTGAAGCCCAGGTTGTCTATGTGGGTTTCCTGGATGCTCTCCAGGTCCTATTCCCATTTTTTATTTTATATTACAAGCATATCCCTGACCTTCTTACCTGGTCTTCTGCCTTGTCCAATGCTTACTTCTTCACTGCTTCCTTTAAATCAATCAAGTCTTTCCTCCTCACCTCTTAGTCTTTCTTGCCTTTACAGCTTATTCATTACACACTAGCAAATAAAAGCCCGTACATTTACATTGACTGCAACAGAAGACAAAATTAAATATTTTGGGGAATGAAAAGTTATCCTCACAATGACAAAGGTAAATTGTTTCATTTTTTGATTTAATTCCCTTCCTTTGAGAGTTACTTAATTAGGCTTCTGTTATGTGTGAGCCCAGTAGTGTGCTAAGGAACTGAGCAGGATGAGGAGAGGCAGAGAGTGAAAAATAAAAAATTGAAAGGAATGAGCTACAGTCCTCCTTTATAAGAAACTTGCAGTCACTGGTGAAAAAGGACACACGTGCACTGCACGACAACAATGATAACAGCTAACTTTTATGAAAGGCTTTATTATGTGCCAGCCAATGTATATATTATTTCTTTTAATCTGATGTAGCTCTATATTAGTTATCCACTGTTCCATGACAAATTACTACGAAACATAGTGGCTTAAAACAGCAATAAACATTCATTATCAATTCCTATGGGAGAGGAATTTGATGGTGGCATAGATGAGTGGTTGTGGCTTAGGGAATCTCATGAAGTTGCAGTCAAGATGTTGGCCAGGGCTGCATTACTGAAAGACTGACCGAGGCTTGAGAACCCACTTCCACAATGGCTCACTCACCTGACTGTCAAGTTGATGCTGGCTCTTGGCAGGAGGCTTCTCCATAGCAGTTTAAGGATCCTCATGATATGGTCACACATGGGACCATATTCTTGGCAAATCATTGCCTATTTGATTATAGCCATTCTCGTGGGTATGTAGTAATAACACTTTGTAGTTATAATCTTCATTCCCCTAGTGACTGATGAGTTGAACATCTCATGTGCTTATTTGCTGTCTGTATATCTTTTTCAGTGACATGTCTAAATCTTTGGTCTAATTTATAATTGGATTGTTTGTTTTCTTATTCAGTTTTGAGTATTCTTTTTATAGTATACAGACAAGTTCTTTATCAGATATGTGATTTGACAATATTTTTTCTCCCAGTGTGTGTCTCTTCTCTTGATTCTCTTAGCAGTATCTCTTAAAGAGTAGATCTTAGTTTTAATGAAGAACAAGCATTAAGTCTCTCTTTTATGGATTTTGCTTTTGAATCTAAGAAATATTTGCTAAACCTAAAGTCACTAATATTTTTTCCTATTTTTTCTTTTATGAGTTTTATAGTTTTAGACCTTATATTGAGAACTATGATCTATTTCAAGTTAATTTTTATATATGATATGAGGTTTTCTGTTAGCTGTCAGTTTTTATTTAACAGTATATCTTTGAGATCATCATATATCAGAACATAAAGAGCTCCTTTATTTATACTTAGAGCCAAATTCCTGCTCTGATAAAGTTTATATTTGAGTTGCAGAGAGACAGACAGTAAATGAGTAAAATATATTGTCTGTAAAATGGTGATATAGCAAGGAAAATGGCGATACAAGAAGTGTGAGTGGGAAAGAAATTTAAAATTTTACATAAGATGGTTAGTTAGGGTGGGTAAAAAGGGGTTCTTGGACACAATTCCAATGTGTGTGTATGTAGGCTTCCCCACACCAACTCAATTCTGACACTATCTACCCAGAGATAGACTCAGGTTCCAGAGGGAAAGGGCTCAGTACCACAAGACCACTCTGCACTTCGGACACCAGTTGCAATCCCAAGTTGTTACCTATGCTTCTGAGTATGAAAGCTACAAACTGGAGCTTCCAACAACCCCTTCCAAGTTAGGATGCCAATCTCAAGTCTAGGTTGTCACCTGCACTACTAACCGACTGGCTATAAATCAGAAGTTCCCAAGACTCTCTCCATGAGTTTGATTAATTTGCTAGAACAGATCACAGAACTCAGGAGAACCCATTTACTCACTAGGTCACTGATTTATTACGAAGAATAGTAAAGGATATGAATCAACAGCCAGATGAAAAGATACACTGGGCGAGGTCCCAAATGAAGGACCTCTGTCCTCATAGAGCTTGAGTCCCCTCACGGTGGCACACAGAAACATTCTGGTTTCCCAATGTGGAAGTTCTATGGAAAACGACCAAAGAACTGTCCTTCTGAGTTTTTATGGAGGCTTTATTACGTAGTCATGATTAAGTCATTAGCCACTGGTGATTGATTGAACCTCAAGCCCCTTTCCCCTCCCTGGTAGTCAGGGGAAGATTCCAACCCTCTAACCACAGGCTTGGTTCCTACTAGCTCCCATCCTTGGGTGGGGTTCAAAAGTCACCTTATTGACACAACAAGAGACACTACTGTTGCTCTCATCATCTTACAAAATTCCAAGAGGTTTGAGAGCTGTGAGCCAAGAATTGCTAATGAAAACCAAACATATCTAAAAAAAAATATATATATATATATGTATATATATACATATATATATATATCTTATAAATCACAACATTGCAGTGGGTCTCACTGAGTTGATATTTTAACAAAGACTGAAGGAGGTAAAGGAACAAGGCTCTAGGAAGGGAGAAAAGATGTACAAAAGCTCTGGAGAAGGGGATACTAATTACAAAAAACTTAAAGCAAAAGGACCAGTCATGTTCTAGAAACAGGAGGCCCGCGTGGCTGTAGTAAAGTGAGTAAAGAAAATAACAGTGAGAAATGAGGTTAGAGAGGTAAGAGGTACGTGTGTGTGTGTGTGTGTGTGTGTGTGTGTGTTGTAAATGGTTATCAGGACTAGGGCTTTTACTCTGAGAAGAGAAGCTACTAGAGAGGTTGGAGGAGTGACATGATCTGGTTTACACTTGAAAGGATAACATTAATTGCAGTGTTCAAAGCAGACTGTAGGGGGCAAGTGTAGCAGCAGAAAGACCTACTGCAATAATTCAGTAAGAAATAGTAGTTTGGACCAGGGCAGTAGTAGTGAGGTTAGTGAGAAATGGGTGGATTCTGGATACATTTTTAAGGTAGTACCAACAGGCTTTGCTCATGGATTGGATGTGGGGTATGAGGGCAAGAGAGGAATTAAGAATGACTCCAAAGTTTTGGGCCTAAGCATCTGGCAGAATAGAATGGGTTTTTTTGTTTTTTGGGTTTTTTTTTACCCCTTTTTTAACATGGTATTTATCAAACATTTTAATCTTTGCAAACTTGGTGGTTGAAAAATGGTATCTACTGTAGTTTTCCCCCTACATTTTGATTGTGAAAATTGTTAAACACAAAAAGTTGAAAGAATAGTACTTATTTCATATCAACTTTAACAATAAAAGATATTAGCTATTATATTTTGATAAAGCCAGAAAGAAAAACAAAAAGATATTAGCTTAAATAATTGTATGTCCAGATGTAGAAAGGAATTCAGGTTTGGTTTGACTCAGTGTCATTAAGAATCTAGGGAGTAGGGGGAAGGGGAAGGAATTTTCAAAGTAAAGCAAATAAACTTTTTATTTTCCCTAGTAAATATGTCTCTTTATCAGGAATGGAGCTATATCCCCACTCCCAAAACAGTAGCTTTGGCCAAGGGATGGAATTTTGCATAATACTGTAGGCTTGCATGCCCCACTCTTAGAACCAGGGGTAGAGTCAGAATCCTCAAATGCACATGGGCTATGCATTGGGAAGGTGCCCACAACCGAATAAAATTAGAATGGATACCAAGAGAAGGGGATCAATATCTTTCTTACCATTCCTATGTCCCAACTACTATGAGTGTTTTAGAGTTTGACCTACTGTTGTCTCCCCAGTCTCCCCAGCTGGTGTCTCTGAAGCATGACTTTTCACTTCTCTGAATGACCTGGGGCACTGATTTTCTGCATTTGTCAAATTTTCAATCATCCTACTTGTCATTCACTTCCTATAGTAGTCATCTGTTTGTACTGCTACGCCTTCATTCCTCAAAGTACTCTAACACATAGCTGTAGTGCTATCAAACTTTTATTGAAATTTTGGATCATTGAAAGGATTACAACATAGAACAGAACTCAAAACTGAACCCTAAGGGTAAATTTCCTTGACTACTTCACCTTGGGGACCGTGGTGATTTAAAAATGTCTACCAATTGTTTAATACTTCTCCTTTGAAAAAAGTGGAGCCCAATTGTCCTCCCCTTGAATGTGGGCTGGGAGTTAGTGACCTGCTGTTAACAAATAATATGTGGCAGAGTGAAGATATGTGACTTCTAAGGCTAGGTCATTAAAAGAATAGAGCTTCCACCTAGCACTCTCACGCTGGCCCTCTAACTGGAAACCTCAGAATTCAGCTCTGTGAGCTTTTAATCAGATAAACATTGCAGGTTTTTGTAAAGAATCATGCTTTACAAATGCCTGAGGGCATATGGACTTATTCAAGGAAGTATTGTCCAAATCAAAGAAAATATATGAAGAAAGTGTTGGGATTATAATGTAAGTTTCTTTTCTGCTTTATAGCAGTTGCTATGAAATGTAAATTAGATGTTTCGATGCACCTTCAAGTTCTAATACAGTTCACAAACCCTATGTGTTAAGTACTGTTTAAAATATAAAAAGGAATACGGGAGTTTGAAATATACATAGGTTTCAGATTTAGAACTGCACAGTTGGCAGGCAACTTCAAGAATTTAAAAAAAAAAAAAAATTCCAAAACACTTGTTTTCTCCAGGCACTGAACTGGGTTCTGGAATAATAAAAATAGCCTGATATTTATATAATTTTGTGGTTAATCTTAATTTTATGTAACTATTCTACTCAACGTAGCTTCTGGGGTCCAGATAAAATATAATGCTTGAAGCAGAGTAGGGATAAAAGGAGAGAGAAGACAATTAAGAACTGAGAACTGAAGGAGAAGGCAAGTTAGGAAGCTCATCTATGCTGAGAGGATAATGGAGGGAAAAAAAACAATACAGTTGATTCTTAAACACCGTGGGGATTATGGGTTCTGACTCAGTGCAGTCAAAAATTCTCATGTAACTTGACTCTCCAAAAACTTAATTACTAATAGCCTTCTGTTGAAGCCTTACTGATAACATAAAGTTGATTAACACATTTTCTGTATGTTATACGTATTGTATACTGTTTTCTTACACCAAAGTAGCTAGAGGAAATAAAATGTTATTTTAAAAATCATAAGGAAGAGAAAATACATTTACAGTACTATACATATTTATTGAAAAAGAACCCACATATAAGTGGACTGGTGCAGTTCAAACCTGTGTTGTTCAAGGTCAATTGTAGTCATGAGACAGTGAATATATAAACTGGACAAATGCCAGACCATTTATGACAATTGGAAATCTGACCCACAAGCTCTGCGGCAATCAGCCCAGAACTCTTGACTGAGCAATGACTGTAAGCTTCCATATTTTTTGTCCCACCCTGTCCAACTCAGGACCAACTAAACAAAGCCAAATATGCTTCCCCAACACAATTACATAAGACGCCTCTTATAGTTAACCTCTTATAGTTAAAAGAATAGAGCTTCCACCTAGCACCCCATGTTAATACTCTCAAATCAGAGCATACATGAAACTTTCCCCCACTTTTTTTTTTTCTACTTTAAAGTTTTTGCACTTCCATGACAGCCTTTGAGTCTCTGCCAGACAGAAGTGATGGTGGCTGAATGCTTTGTTATAGAAGGCATAGAATAAGCATCTTTTTCTCATTTGGGTGGTCTTCATTTATTTCCACAGTAATTCATTCACATATATCGTATATTAGTTGTAATTTATGTGCCAGGCAGTGCCTAGCATTGATGTGGAAGCAGATAGTCCCTTCCCTCAAGGATATTCTCTTTGGAAAGACAAACACATAAATATAATTCTAATTCAGTGTGGTAAGCGGAACAATAGGCATATGTAAAGAAGGTGTAGGTCAGGTAAAGCTTTCAGGAGAAGTGACCCTTAAGCCCAGTGGTAAGAGATGACTACCAGTTCGTCTGAGTAAGACTCAGGAAAGGATATTCAAGGCAGGTGGAGGGGTGGGGGAGGCAGAAGAACAAAACCTAAGAGGTCAGAAACCACATTGGTGCGTTGGTGGAGCATTAGGGAGGTGAGGAGCAGCAGCAGATGCTGCACGGGCAGGCTGTAGACGGCCATGTATGTGCCACGTTTGTAAGGACTTGGACTTTATCCTCTCCAAGTGGCTCCCTCCTGGAAATGAGAGAAACGGCTGGTGTAAGCAAAGAAGAAAAACAATATTAAGGAAACATTACCTTTACATGTATTACTGTTAAGATTCAGGAGAGGAGGGACACAACCACTCGTAATGTCTGGCACACAGTAGACATTCAATAAATGTTAAATGAATGGATATAAGAGCTTCTGTATAGACATCTGTGTCCTCAATTTCTATGTCTTTCTCACGGGACAAGACAATGAGGCCGGGGCATCAGTTTGGAATGGCGGGCAGGGTTGGTGGACACAAAAATCTCTAATAGTTTATGGGCAAGGAATTCACTTGTGTCGCGGACACCCCGAGACCCACCCACAGCTGTCCTGGAAGCGGCTGCGGAGAAAGCAGCGGGCGGAGAACTCGCGTCCCCAAGGGGACAGGAGAAGCCTGATAGCCCAGAGCTACTAAGCTCCGCTCACCTGTGCGTCCGCCGCCGGCCCTTTTAGGCGGAGCCACGGTGCTATGCCCTTCTGGATTGGACACGTTCTAAGTCCTGGGGCGGGTATTAGAGGCCGAACGCTCTTGGGGATTGGACAGCTTGACGGACGGACGGGAGGCTATCAGAGCTGGTTCGCTGGGGCTCCGGCTGGGCGGAGGCTGGTCCCTCTCCCCTGTCCGTCATTGGCTCTCTGCGGTTTCCTTGGGGACGTGGCACCGCCGCCGGCACAGGCCTCCTTCCGGCTGGGCTAGAGGCGGTGGAGAGTCGCTCCTGATCAATCCGAGAGGTGCAGCGGACACCCGCAGGCCGCTCGACAGGTAAGTGTGTGTGCTGGAGGGCTGCGGAGTCGAGAGGACAGAAAGGGAAGTGGGGACCCCCACCCCTCCACCTGGGGACTGCCGGTTCCTCGAAGGCATCACTGGCCCTCGAGAACGCCCAGCTCCCAGGGAGCCGGAGTAGAGTCTGCTGGGCCCCAGGAACAAGAGCGGACGGATCTAGAGTGGGAGCCCCAGGAGTGGGCAGGCATCGTGGCCTTCTCGTGGAGGTCTGGTCTCGTGGACGGTGCCGGAGGTAAGCCTGAAACCTATCCAACTCTTTCTAGGCGTCAGGCTTAGGAGATGCCTAGGACAAGGAGACCACCTTCTCAGGGCAAAAGGAAAAGAAGGTGACAGGCGTTGAGACCACTGAAGGGAACCCATGGCTAGGTAAGGCTGTATACTTTCTCTTCAGCCGGGGTCTCTTTTGGGGTCGCAGGCAGGTTAAAGGGCCCTGGGAGATTGTTGCGAGTGAGGATTGCTCTAAGGCTGCGTCTGGACTTTGCTTCTGGACAGATGGACTGCAAAGATCGAAGTTGCAGCCTTTTGAAGGCAGATACAATAGTTTCCAGCCCACAACCCAGGCTCACTTCAGTCTCGCTCAGCTCTGAGAAGTGCTAGATTGTGAAGTTCTTTCAAATATCCATCTGAGTGAACCTAGGGCCCCTTTGAGGAGGTTAAACAAACATATGTGTGTGTGTGTGTGTGTGTGTGTGTGTGTATTTGTATATATGTATATATATATTTGTATATATGTATATATATATATAAATATATGTAAATATCTCGCAAATAACTTTGAAAACTGACTGAGGCCCTTTTGAATCAATACAGAAAGTGAACTTAAGTTGAACACACTTGTCCATACATTACAGTACTCTGAAACTTTAAGAAAAAATTACTGTGGATCTGTGATTATGGGAGTAAGTAGGGAAGGATGCGGAACGGTTAGTATCATGTAAAACCAAATGAATGGAGATAACACACACATGATCTATTATCATATATGATAATATATAGGGAAATGACTCACTTCCTACTTTTATCTTTTTTTACTGTTTTTTTATTACCATGTGCATATGTTACTTATTAAAATATTTTAAAAAATCAATTGAATAAATTTTCTGACTATCCAGTTTTTTGGCAACATTCTTCATGGTAATGTTGTAGTTACTCTGATTCTTCAATGTTATGAGGTTGCGGAGGGGGACTGGTGATCATTAACATAAATTTAATTCTTTGAATTGCACCCCATAGTGTAGACTTTGGAAAAAGATCAGGTAAGACTTCTCATTTATATAGTAGAAGCACCATGAACGATATAGAATATAAAATTTGAAATTAAAAGAACATTTAGATTTCTGGTGGCACAAATTTTTGCCTTTAGTAATAAAGGCTTTAACCCAATTTTAAAACTATTTTTAGTACCCAGTATTAAGTAAGACTTTTTTTACTTAATAATGTTTGTCTCATTTCAGGATCAGTTTTTCCTACCTCTGCCCAGCCTCGTGGTACTTTACTGTGCCCACAGTGAGCCCATTTCCCCGTCAGCGAGTGGCATTCCTAGGACTCTTCTTCATATCCTGTCTCCTTTTACTTATGTTAATTACGGACTTTCGACATTGGGGTGTTTCGTCACCACGAGATAGGCAATACGAAAGGTGAGTCAGCTTTAGATCACTTTGATCAGGTTTGCATTGAAATCATAAGTAGTTTGATAAGATGTTTAACACGTTACTTACTACCTTTGATCCTTTTGGGAAATACTGCACTTTTATTAGTAAAATTGCATGCCACTTATTACATAAAGAAGAACTTGGCAATGTTCAGTTTTGATTCAGGAATGATGCTGCTGTGTTTTAATCATGAAAGGCATCTTTCTATTTTCTTATTTTGGTGGGCTGACTTAATTGGGTGCATGAATGTTTAGGATTGTTATATATTATTGATGAATTGACCCTTTTATCATTATTAAATGACTCTCTTTATCCTTGATTATCTTCTTTGCTTTGAAATATCCTGGTTTTGTATTAATGTAGCTACTTAAACTTTCTTTTGATCAGTGTTAGTATGAAAGATGGTTTCTCATCCTTTTAGTTTTAGCCTATTTGTGTCTTTATATTTAGAGTGGCAGCATTTCATTGAGTCTTGCCTTTTATCTCGCAGTGAATGCCTTTTATTTGGGGTGTTTAAGCCATTTACATTACATTTAATGTGGTTATCAATTATGTTTAGGTTTAAATCTATCTTGCAGTTTTATCACATCTGTTCTTTGTTCATTTTTCCTCTTTTTTCTCCTTTTTTTGAATTGAGTACATTTTTTATGATTCCGTTTTGTTTCCTTTGTTGGCTTGTTAGGTGTAACTCTGTCTTTACTTTTTTAGTGTTTGCTTTAGGGTTTAGGGTTTATATCTTACATCTTTAACTTACAGCCCACCTTCAAGTAATATCATACCTCTTCATGCATAATATAAGAACCTGTCAACAGTGTATTTTCATTCCTCCCTTTCCCTTTGACTTTTGTGCTATTGTCTTTACTTCTCCATATGTTATAAGCACCACCATATATTGTTTATATTTTTGCTTTAAACATTTAATCATTTTTTAAAGAGATTTTTAAAATAAGAAAAAAAGGCTTGTATACTTACCATTTCTCGGCCTTTTCATTCCTTTGTGTAGATTCATTTTTCCATTTGGTCTCATTTTCCTTTTGCTTAGCACGTCTAGTAGTGTGAGACTGTGGTTGGTGAATTCTTTTAACTTTCATATGACTGAAAAAGTCTTTATTTTGCTTTCCTCTCTGTATAGCTGGAGAGGTATATCAGGCTGGGCCTGTTCATTGAGTATAGATAGATCTCTAGGTTGATCGGTTTTCTTTCATTACTTTAAAGATGATGCTCCACTGTCTTCTTGCTTATATTCTTTCTGAGGAGAAGTCTGCTGTCATTTTTTATCTTTGTTCTCTCTGTACATAATGTGTCTTTTTCCTCTGGCTACTTTTAAGATTTTCTCTTTATCACTGGTTTTAAGCAATTTGATTATGTTGTTTGTTGCTATAGTTTTCTTCATGATTCTTGTGCTTGTGCTTTGTTGACTATTAGATCTGTAGATTTATAGTTTTTGATCAAATCTAATTTTTTAGATTTGAAAAATTTAGAAAATTTTTGTGCATTATTTCTTCAAATATTTTTTCTGTCCTCTTCCATATCATCTTTGGCATCTCCAAGCCAAAGATGTTTTGAGCCATGTGAAGTTTTTCCACAGCTTACTAATGCTCTATTCATTTTTTTCAGTCTTTTTTCTCTCTGTGTTTCTTTCTAGATATTTTATATTGCTTTGCCTTCTAGTTCATTAGTATTTTCTTCTATAGGATCTAATCCACTGTTAATTCCATCCAGTGAGAGCTGAAGAAATACTTTTTTCACAGAAAATACATCTGAATTATTTGATATAGTTTTAAAGCCTTACCAGTTACATAGAAGATCTGCATTCCTTTATAATGGTGATTCTGTTTGCTATTTTTTTTTAGATTATTTTCTGATTAGGCTATAAAATGAAATGATGACATGTTATGTTCATCATCTTCAATATGATTTTCTCTCTATTCTCACATTTATATCAGTCAGGAGGCTTTGGGCTACAAGTAACAGTCAAACTGATTGAAATAATACAAGTTTATTGGCTCATATAACTAGAATTCCAGAGATAGAGGGACCACAAGTTCAACAGTGGCTGGCAGTATGGGAGTCTCTCTCTCTCGTCCAGTGTCAGCTTGCTTAATGATCGCAAAATAGCAGCCAGTAGCAACAGGGGCTACATGTGTCCTCATTCATGTCCTGTAGGAGAGAAACAGGCCTTCCATGCTCTCTTATAAGAAGGAAGAGGACCCTTCCCAGAAACCTCCTGTAACCCTTTCCTTGAATTTTTTTCAGTCAAAACTGAGACATATGCCTACTCCCTTAAATATTTGAGTTGTTCTGTCCCCAGATTTTTCATTTTCTATTCACTTTGGTCCTTCATTTTTCCATTCATTTAACAAATGTTTCTTGAGCAGCCACTATGTGCCAGGTGATAATAGGCATGAGGACATGGAAACTTTGGTACTTTTTCTTAAGAAGTTTATGTTTTCAACCTTTATTCCTCTAGCAGTGCTGTTGTATTTTTGACTTTTCCTTTTCAGAAGAGGAAACATATATTTAGATGACTACAGTTGTCAACAATTGGCCTTAAGAAGCTTGTTAGCTTTGGGAAACTAAATCTGTAATTTGAATTTTCTTAATGCTTATTGGGATTTTCTTGACAGATCTGAACACAGTTTCCCACTGGAAGATAGCATGGTCTAATTATGGAATTCTATGTAGGTTAATATGGCTAGAATGAAGACTATTAGGGAATTAGTAGTGAGCCATGTAACTGGAGAGGTAGGTCAGGCTGGGCCTGTTAAGCCATTTAAGGGGGTTTAGACATTATCCGAAGGGCAGAGGGAAAGCTTTGAAAAATGGTATGATCTGAATTGCTTTTTAAAGAAAGCTTATCTTGGTGACATTGTAGAGAATGAATTGCAGGGGAATAAAAATGAAAGCAGGGAGATGGATTGGAATACTCCAATAGAGAGAGGATGGTAACCTGACCTTGGGTGGCAGCAATGACGATGGAGAGAAGTAAACGCATTTAAGGGATATGTAGAGGGTAGAGTGATCCAAAAGTTCTTGTCTGCCACCCCAAGTGGCTAGATCCAATAAAAACTCATTAAGTTGAATTAATTGAAACAAGTTAGATGCAGTGCTAGGGAACACACAGACTATGCCATTGCGGTGACCTTAGCCAAAGTCTCAACCACACTTTAATGCTTTGGCTGAGCAGCCAGCAGCCATGTAGCCTAAAGCCTCTTGTTCCTAAATAAAAAGTTATGTGCATAGTGCCACAAATTGCCATATATCATTAAACTGCTCTTGGCAGCCTTCCACGAGTCATTCAGGAAGCAAACATTTGCTGAGAGCTTGCTGTGTACACTGCTAGACATTGGGGTACAAAGATGAATAAAACGTGGCTCCTGAACTCGTGGAGTTCATAATCTAGTTAGGGAGACAGATGTGAAGGAATAGTTATTTTCCAGTGAGATAATAGTTTATGTAGCTGTGCAGAATCAGGAATAGAGAATCAGGAACTGTACACTGCCAAGAATCTGGAACAAAGTTAAGAATCAGCAGTTAATCAGAAGAGGCCCATGAGTAACCAAAGTTGATATCACTAAGTTTATGTACTGAAAACTTCTGTACTTTACTGATAAGATAAGCTCTCACGTAGAACCTGTTTGCTTTTATTTTACACACTGTTCTCCCTTGTCTCAGAACACAGCAGATAACCGTAAATTAGAACGATGGTAGTAAGGAGTGTGTGGTGGTCATGTGGGCACACTGATGACGATAATTAATAATATCGGGCATCTTGACAGAGAGGAAGAGAGAGAAATTGATTAAATGTAGACTTACTCAAAATTTCTACAGACCATTTCTATAGTGGCAACCAGTTCTCTACATTTTGTTAAAACGTACTACACAGTTTAATAATGTATGTTAATGATGACCTGAAATCGGTGGTTTTCAACTTTTGTGTATCTGAATCACTTAGGGACCTTTAAAAAAATGCAAATAATTGGGCCTTTTCTCAAGATGTCTCTAATATGCAGCCTGAGTAGAAAACCATTGCTCTTAGGTTTAGTTATATTTGAGAGGAGGTATTATTTTATAGAGAAAAGAGGATTGATTTTAGAGCTAATTGGTCCATTATTTGCTAGTTGGGTGTCTTGGGCAGGTGTTGTATTCAGGAATCTCATTTCCCTTATGTATAAAGTGAAGGTAGTCTTGTCCTTTGGATTCAAAGAGAAAAGCATCTAGGACTGCCCACTGCATTGTGGTTGTTAGTTTTACTATTATTTGAATAATCTTGATTTATCTGTTCTCTAATTCCCTTTTTTTGCCCTGCAAGTATATACTGAAGATAATAGGCAGCATTATTTCCATTTAAAATTTTCTTTCCAGAATTCCTTTTTTTTGTGGCAGCTACTGATTAAGCACGGGTGACCACTAGCATATGTTAAAACCATTAAGCAAATAACTAGGAATTTTTAAGCAAATAATTAAGAATTGATGGAAACACCTATCACTTTAGTCCAACAGCTTAAAAAAAATTTAAGTTACTGCTTGTGGTTATGATTGTTATATTATATACATACAATTCCTAATTTACACAATGAAGTAATTTACACAATGAAGTTATATCAATATTTTTCGATGTTCCACAAAGGGTATACCGCAGGTCTGCGAATAACATTATTTTGTTCAACATCGATGAGAAAAAAAAAAAAATGATTCCCAGCTGGGGCCACTGTCTGTGTGTAATTTGCACGTCTTCCCCATGTCTGTGTGGGTTTTCTCGGGGTACTCTGGTTTCCTCCCACATCCCAGAGATGTTCATATGAGGTGAACTGGCATGTCTAAATGGTCCGTTTGGGTAAGTGAGTGAGTGAGTGAGTAAGTGAGTGTGTGTGTGTGTGTGTGTTGTGTGTAAATGAACTCTCAATGGAAGAGTGTCCTGTCCCAGGTAGGTTCCCACCTTATGCCCTGAGCTGCCAAGATGGGCACTGACCACTTAGGATTGG